GAATAATCATGCCTACACTGCACAGGTCTTGAACTTGTCCAGTTGGCTCGTTAAATAATACTTGTATATTTATCTTTTTTGCTTAATGTATTGAAGTTTAAATGGTTTAAAAGAAAGTTGAGAAACACAAATCTAGATCAATCGGACCAAACCTTAACCTGCACAAGAGACAAACTGCAGTAGAAGAAACAGCAAAGAGTCTTAAGAGTTTTTTTCTCTAACAGATAAGCATATCTGGATAGTTCCAGTTCAACAGATATGCTGGCATAATGTGGGATATTGACACATGGACTCAAGCAATATGTTTCTAAATAAAAACTTATAATGAATATGCACTGAAATTGCATCGGAATAACTTATGTGCACTTTATTTTTAGCAGCACATCCTATGTGACGATGTACAGTAAAGTTTTAGAAGAGCATTGCCTTAGCATATTATCCTACAGGATGTCGATTATTGGATATGTAACCTAAAGTCCCACATCCTTATGTAGTTTATCAAAAATCTACAGTTCACTTTCTATTGCTGATTGCAGATGCTCCTTAAATTAAGAATTCCAGATAAGTTGATGGACTTGTTTTCCACCCAAGCTCTCCCACACTCTCCTGATAGCAGCATTTAACTATGGTTATGTAAGGGGATACATGTTGCATGATATGTCCACATATGACATGCTATAATCCTTAAAATCAAAATCTAAGGCTTTATTTAAAGTATGCTGTTTGGGCTTTGTTTATCTCCATATGAAAAAAAATTTACCCAGATTTTCTCCCCCAAACCTATACACAATAGTTATTAAAATGGAAGTTCTGCCACTCTATTCTAACAAGAGGGACATTCGTGAAATCTGGTGGGGTGTTTGGCTGCTAAGCAGTCTTCTGGTTTCTTAGGTGACATATGTAAAATTATGGCTTTGTTGCCTGTCTGGGTAAAATAGAAAGTCCAGAAGTGTCAGGTGCTACAGAGAGATGCAAATCTATTTCAAAACCTTGAAAATGTCTCCCAGAAGAAGGCAATGTTGAGTTGGGATTACTGCAGGTGTCCGCAAATAACCTAGAAATTAAAATTAATTATTTTACAAGCACAACACTCGTATGCCTACATGTGAGAGAAAATATGAAATGATATCACTTGATAATGTTCACTTAGCAGTCTCAAATATGTTGTGGCTATGCAGATGTTTTCAAAGGTTATCAAGCTAAAAAAAGAATGACGTTGAAAACAAGATAAGTCTTTTCAGATTTTCGTGTTTGGTTAAAACCTTTTCTAAAACATAAAATGGTAAATAAGTTTATCTATAATAATGCAATCACACATCTTGAAATGCTTATGTGGATCCTGCTATTAAGTCTTACTTATCGTTTTACTTCCTTTAACTCGTTATACATACTTTGGCTTATTGTTGGATAA